CATCATATCGCTTATAAACTTTGCTGAAGACACAGCTGGGATCGATATTAAACTCTTTCAGTCATAGTTTTATCCCTTCTCTGGTTGCACCTCCTGGTAACAACTGAAAATGTTAAGTCCAATAAGTCTCTAGGTTTTCTTCTGGAGTAGGAAACAACGATCTCCTCAGGTCCCCTATAACAGAACCTATACAGTTCCTACAGGCTTAGGGCATCACTTTTGACAGACTTCTCACATTTCTGTTACCTTTAAGCACACTATGTTTTCTGTAAATAATATTTACAGAAAGGCTTCTACTTAGTAAAGATGCAAAAGAAAGAATAATAGTAGTAATTTGGTCAATAAAAACTAATGGCATAATATTATTACTCTGAGTAATTCTCTACTCTGAGTAATGTATTCTGTCTGTGGCCAAAATAACTGCTTAAAAACATCCTATGCAGAAAAGTAGAATAAATACTTACAGAGAAAAGTATTAAGATGGACAATACTGAGCTGATTCAGTTAAGACTGCAGTGAAAGGAAGCAAGAAAAAAAAATCCTAAGTCAAACCATCATGTAAAATTAGAAAAATAAAATGGGATCTTTATGTAACCTTTTATCCCACCATTTAGTTGGCTTTTGGATCTTGGCCTCAGTTTTATTTTTCTGTCTTTCCATTCCTTGTAGTCATGTTTTTTTTTTTTTTTTCTTGCACTGATTAAAAAAAGGTGTACTAAATTATTTTTTTTGTTGCCTTTTTTTTTTTTTTAACTAGTTCTTATGCTTCATAAGTAAATTTATTATTCTCTGGATATATAAGTAGGCTAACTAAAGTAGTAATTAATGTATTAGATCATGTTCCAATGCCAACTTGAACACAAAGTTTTAGCAGCTTTTTATGTTGAAAATAATACGTACTTAAGTTTGCATTCAATGAGCAAAAGCTTACAAACACACAGATGTATCTAGGTACAAAGATGCATTTAAGCTGATGGAAGTCAGCTTAAGGTAAAGGTAAAATTACCTTTAAAACATTGTATAGTTCTTGATGATGAAACAGAAAATGCAAACTAAGTGCAAGCATATGAATTGTCACATACCATTCAACACTTTCTTAAAATAATTTTAGCCAGAGATTACACAGGTATTTTTTATACAGTACTAAAAGCAAACCAAAACCTATCATGTATGTTTACATTTTAAGAGAAAAAAATTGCTGTCTTTAGTAGGAGCTCTCTTTCTCTCCTGATGAATATCAAATGCCCCAAATTAATTGTCAGAAGCTGTGGGACACAAAAAAATATGACAGATCTGGGTAATAAAAACCTGGAATATTTTTCAATCCTTAGGAACAACATGACATTGGGAGTCTTTTTGTTTTCTTTCTCCACACAAATACTGATTAGTTAAAATCTCTGACTGTATACTTGCAGTTTATTCATTGGTATAAGAGAATAAGTTGGCTCCAGGCATTCACAAAAGGTATTATTCTTGATGAATTTATCTTTCCTCAGGATATTCAGAAGACACAAAGTATTCTGAGGGTTGGTTTATGCCTGATGGGAAGCTGAAGTCTAGAATACTTCTCTAGCAGACAAGAAAGATAGTATTTTACATAAAGGTGTCTTCATTTGTCTTCACAAAGGATTGCCAAAGACAGAAATTTATACTGGTCACTAGATCTCAGAGATCCTAATTACACTTAGTATGGGAAAGAAGGGAAGACATCAATCTAGTATAATTGGGGATTATTGCTATTTTTCTTTTAATAAGATGCCAGACTGAAATACATGTATCTCTGTGTATTAGCCACCTAATTTTAATTGTGTTAGGGAACATCTGTTATTGCTATTATTAACCGACTCATTTGCAGTAATAAGTTACTTACTCTCCAAAATATTTAACAACTTGCTCTTTGGAAATTCTAAGAGTTTTATCTCTTTAGAGCTACTTCAGTAGAACAAACTTCTCCTCTTTTTAAACACCTGAGATGTGCTAGTCAAACAGACATAGCTCCTCTGAAAATTTTGATACAGCTATTACATTGGACAAAACTGAAGTCTTGAGAGATTATTCAAAAGTTAAGTTTTATGTTGCCAGTACAAGCAGAGAAAAATTTTACTCTTTCAGAAATTCCATATTTTTTTAAATGCACATCTTCCTGCACAATTTGATGGGGAAATGTGACAGCTGATATAAGTATTCTAAATATTTATTTCTAATGTGTCCTTTACATGCTGCATTTTTATTTAAAAAAGGCATCGCTAAAAAGGCTGTGCACTTTGAGCCATGGACAACCTTCTGGAAAGGAGTAGCTCTTACTTTCTGCTGACCCTCAATGTGTGGAGCTTCTGCAACTTTCTTAGCTACCTGCAAAATGGGCAGTACACAAACTGACACACAAACTGAGCAAAAAGGAGAATATAGAGGGCAAGAGTACAAAGTTAAACCCTACAGAGAATACTTGTAAGCAAACACAGAAGAAGATAAATACTCAGAATAATGAATAATGATCAGAATACTCAGAATATCAGAATAATGATCTGTATTTGCCAGTGCTCCACCAAAGACACAGTGAAGTAAACACAGCTGGGATGCATGAGTTCAATTTACCTGAAGACATACGACAGAGAACCACACAGGAACGACTTAACTAGTGACACAGACGTACAGTGCTTAAATTCTGGTGAGTGGTTGCCAGCACAAAAGCCCAGGTATGAATTATTATGTAACAGTCTACAGATGCAAACCTTATTGCTGAAATTAGAAACAAAGAGGTTCAAATTGGAAACGTCATTCATGCAGCAAGGATAAGCAGTCATACGACCTTATAAAATGATAAGAGAAAAATCAACTTGTTTCAAATTCTGACAGCCCCAATGGGTGCTAAAACATATTTCCTGGAACTGAAAAGAGGTCTAGTAACTTTTTTTTTTTCTTAGGCCTTTAAAGGTCACATCTGCTACAGAAAGTTGAGCGTAAAACAAACCAAATTATTGAAAGGAGAAGATCTAGAAATGTGAGATAATCCCAGAGATTTCTACTGGTACAGGGTAAGAGCAACTAGAAATTTCCTTAAGCATGTGTTTTGTTGTTTTCAGAGAAAGAATAATAGAATAATATCCTTCTTCCTTCAGAGGCTTATTTCCCATTACATGGTAAACATTCAAAGCATAGACAGACAGTCTTCCCTCCTGATCTTCAGCCATGTTCTTTTTAAAAAATATATAGGCTGAGGCTATATAAGTGTGTATATAAGTGTTTTTTTTAATTTAAAGAAAATTAAAAAAAACACTTGTGAGATTTACTTACCAAACGACTTTAAAAACATAAAATGCAATACAATTAGTTACCCAATAAGAATAAAAGCACCTTTTGTGATGTAATTCGTTTTCTTATACTTAAAAAATAAAATAAAGCTGGAGTGACTTAAATGAACACTCTCTCAAAGGTTAAATAAATTGTAATGCCATGGAACTACTGGTGTTTGGAACATTTAAAGGTCAGTTCCATACATTTTTTCAGAAATTTTAAGCTTATTTTATTATTTACCGAAGTGGTATTTCCTTCAACTGAGAAAGTTTTGAAAGGTCCATTTAGTACCTAACACTTTTTGAAGGGCAGTGCTAGGTCGAACAATGGGGATAGCTCAGAGGCATTCTCTCTCCCTCTTGTCAAGTTAGCATTAGCACAAACATGCATGTATATACAGCATGGCATCACAGCAAGAACAAGTACTTAACAATTTTTGGCACAACTTTATTGAGATCAAAACTTATGTTGTAGTTAACACATGTGCACCTCACATGTTTCCCTACCACAGCAAATAATAATTTCAGGTAACATTTTGGGGTCAGGATAAAACCATGTTTTGAGTACTTATGCCCCCTTTTATCAACAAAGTAATCACAAAAATAGCAAATATTTAGAAGCTTTCAAGAGTTAGAATTAATAATTTCTAACTGACAATGTGAAGATGTTTATTGAGTAGAAATTGCTAACCTTCAAATTGGAGACAACCAGCAAAATTCCTTGTCATAATATGAGGCAGACCCATATAGTGAAAGGATAAAGAGGCAAGTGATCTTCAATAGAGACAAAAATGTCAATACAACTGGGAATGTACATATTTTAAAATTAAATTACTTGATTTTAAGAAGAGATTGGACTGTGCACTTAGTCACATGGTCTGAACTTTTGGGTAGGCCTGTGCGGTGTCAAGAGTTGGACTTGATGATCCTTAAGGGTCCCTTCCAACTCAGGATATTCTATGATTCTATTCTATTCTATGATTTGCAACTGACCATTTGAAATGTTACCCTTTAATTTGTGCTACAATAGAATTTTGGTGCGAAGCATCATTGGACTTCTCTGCCTTTTCCTCTACTATAATAGTAAAGGAATTTTTTGTATCACTTTTGCAGGAGTTGCTTCTCCTGCTGCCTTGAACAAACACTATCTTTTATCCTGGCTTAGACCGTCTCTTAAGGAACTGAAAGAACAACAAAATTATTTAATTGAATATGATCAATGAACTACTATCATATTAACAGACATCAAATTAAGCATTTGATGGTACTGAATTTTGAGGCTTCCGTGTTAACTAATGTATTCTAATGGCTTTGTGGTCCGACCAGTGTAACAGCAGAAAGCAAATGTGGTTGCAAATGCAGAGTATTTATTTCTTATGGCTTACACATAAAAGTACACATACTTTTTAAAATAGCATTCCTTGAAAATACAAATGAAAATGGTTATTTTCAAATGTTTCACAAAAATGTCAGTACTATAGTAATCTGTAAAAAATGACTTACTGATAAAGTTTTCACAAAGATTTGATCAAATGCTGATCGCTAGGAGATTGAGTTAGTTAGCTCTAACGCCACAAGTAACACCTTTAATTTTACTCACCGTGTTCCCCCTTAAAATAATGAAGAGTAGAAAGGAGAAAACCAAGATCATCAGAATCTTTTAGCAACAATGGAAGATTTTTCTGTATAGAAGGGTAGTCTACAAACCTTTGTTCAGTTTTTAAGGGAAGTGTTTCCATGTTTCATATCCTGCTGGTGAAGTAAGGACAGTGAAAAAGCTGCTTGCTATTTCTCCACGAAGAATTTTATGGGTATGATAGTTCTACATTAATTTTATGCTTCACACCACACTGAATCTAACAGGAAAGATTAGATAAATTTTAAAATCATAGGTCTTAAAAACAGAAATCTGAGCAACCCTGAAAAGCATGTTCAGTAAGATCCACAATCATCCCCCCCAAAAAAATGAGAATCTTTCCGTTAAACAAAATAACATATCAAAATAAAAAGTAGGATATAGTCATTTCTGAGTGACAGGAGGCCCGGACCTGCCTGTCTTAGGGTAGTATCCTTAGACCCTTTGGGATCATCCTGTAAGACACTCACATTTCTTATTTAGAATCCACCCCCTCCTTTTTCTTTTTTTTTTTTTTTTTTTTTTTTTGTAATTTTCTTCTAAGTGGCCAAAATATTTTAGCTATTCAAGCTTGGAGGGAAAAAATATTTTTTGAAAAAGAAAGAAATAAGGAAAAGAGAAAGAAAGCCAGAAAGAATTTTTGTATGTGATCAAAATCAAAATTTCAATTTGAAATTAGCCACCTAGGACTGAAATGAACAGTCACGGTTTTATTAAAGAAATGTTACAACTAAAACGTGTACAATTAAAAATAGCATTATTAACACAGAAGTGGTGCTCAACTCAAAGCTGTTGGTTAATTAACCAGTCAATGTCCAGCCTCATTCCTCCTCTGTTTACACACACCATATTAGTTTTGTCCTGCTTCCTTAAACTCAAAATAAAATTATAGTTTTTAATTTATAGTTATTAGTTATTTTGGTGGCAGTTGCAGTCCATAACCACTGTAATCTTGTCTGTCCTTTGTCTACCCACTTAGTAGGCTCACTCTTCTAATACATCCTTGAGTAATTTTACTCCCACTACAATTTTTTTGAGCTGAAGCATTTGCAGGATTTGATTGTTCCTATCTACTTCATAAATCCTTATGCATTGAAAAGACATCCCTCAGCTTCTTTGCATGTTAATATTAAGCCTTGAGCTGAATAGATATACGTTCTTCTCAGCACTGTCACAGTTGCATATTTTTAATTTTAAGCAGGCTCTCTGAACTGCCATATTGGCTAGTGGCTATTGGGTGTTTTCATATTGTTTTTCATATACAGTTTCTCTACTACTATTGCTATTCCAAATCTTTTATTGCCAGTTATAGTATGAAGAACTCCCTTAGAACAAACTCATTGACTGAGCCAAATTCAAGCAGACATTCCAGTAATACATTCAAATTTGTTGGATACCTTCAGCCCTATTTCTAATCTTTGAGTTTAATTAAATTCATTGCTTTCCATTTACAACCATTACTTATAATTTTATTCTTCTGGAATAAAAATAACGAGTCTGTATCCCAGTCTCTAAGTCTTTGGAGAATTTGGCTATATCCAAATATTCATCTTGCTGGATTCTTTTATAAATATATTTACATTTAGAATGCATGGAGTTGCTGCAATTAAAGGTATAAATATAAGCAAAAAGAGACCTACTGAAAAAAATTCATCATTGCATCTTTAAGATGAACTTTAGTAGAGGAGGGAGAGGGGAAAGACTGAGAAAGTGGGGGAGAGAACCAAAGCACAAGTTTGTCTGTTATTAGAATTCTTAGCTGACACTCTCTCAGCTTCATTTAAAGATATTTACAACTGACCTAATTACAAGATTGTTTTTTCTTAAACTTCTAACTAGGCCATATTCATGTGTACTTACCATAGTTTTTCAAGGATCTGCTATAGCTCCTATTCACTTTTTCAGTAGATTCAAACTCAATAGAGAAATCAGGTCTTTAAGGTTGTCCTAAAAAACGAGATGTAAACAACAAAAGTGAAACAAAAAATTTGCTCCACAGGGTTACCTAAAGTAGGTCTGGAAATTTACCTACTCTAACATGTGATTAGAGAAACAGGCAAATAAAGAGCTCTAGAGCTTACGAAATTAAAATATTAGAGAAAAACTTATAATCAACAGGTTTCTTAGGATGATAACCTGTTAATGTGTACAGGATGGAAGGGCATTCAGCTAATATATTTTACAATCATGAAGGTTCTTTGTTACACTCCTGATGTGCATGATTCTTCCGCATCAGTCTTTCAGCTGCTCACATTTTCCTCTCAGTAACGTTGCCAGAGATTAAGGCATTCACTTAGAAGTAGAGCCAAACAGCTTATAGCTCAGGTCTTCGTGGTCTGTGAACAAGACTCTAAGAAGCACAGCTCCAAGCTTCCACATCATCACTGTGACTCATGCCAGCTGTCAAGTGTCTCTTCTACTTGTTTTAGAGCTCTAGCCATTTCACTTGGAATATGAACAAATTAGAGGTACTTATATGGCGAAGTATTGGCCTGGGCTAAGAAGTGACAATTAAAAGCAATGCCTCCAAGCATAATCTGGTATTCAGCTCCTCACGTATATGCTGTACCTGCTGACCAGTATATGTTGTTTGAGTACTTCCAGTACTCCTCTACCGAGAGCCAAACAGGTTGACAGGGAAATAGGGAAAAAACTTTCACACAGTCAGGTGCCATTTTCTTTTGGGACCTGGTGCTGTCAGCTACCACTCATGACTGGCTATGTGAGGATTTTCTCCTTGCTCAAAACTGTCTGTCTCTACACCAGAACAAAACAGACTCAGCTCAGCCTCTGTTGTAAGTGAGTCCATGACTTGCTGCTGCTTGCCTGTGCTCTAAGCAAACATAATGTGACTGGAATCCAAAGCAGGACTCAAGATTCAGCACCACACAAGTTACAGACTGGTTCTGGAAACAATAGCCCTCGTCTACATGCAGAAAGACACAGAGCATGTCTACACAGGACTTAGAGCTGAAGAAGCTAGACAGCTTGAAGAACCACTGGTTCGTAGCTATTCAGTGTCTCCAAAATTCACTGTTGCGCAGCTTGAACCAAATTAGCCTGGAGAATACATAAAATTTCATCCTACTCCTGACTGATACAATAGGCTTTCTCCAGAACACAACATACAAGCAAGACAGTATTCCTGAAAAAAAGCAAAATTGCAGCTTTGTTTACAGTGCAGCCCACAGTGCTGCCACTGGTCAATTTTTTCATAGTATCCTAACAGGCAACAAGATATACCAGTGGTTAAACATCTGAGAAGATCGAATGCCTATCTCAGTCTTAACTTTAATCCTTGATCTGTGTGCTTTATGAAACAGCCTTATATACATTTCCCATCCTAGATCTATAGAGAAGATTCTCCAGAAGATCTCTTCAGCCTCCTATTGAATTTGTGCCAAAAGGGAACAATGAATTAAAAAATAAATAAATAAATATTGGGCTGGAAAGAGAATGAACAAAATAGTGAGTATGAATCTGTAATAGGGTGATTACAGAAATCACCTGCAGCTGGGAAGTTCTAAATTGCTTCTTCCAGGATTATTATTCAGTGTATTTTCATCTAGTGCATGCAAGGAGAAATGTTTAAATAGATTGAGGTTCAAACATGAAAACCGCCTCTATTTATATCATCAGGTAATTTTACATTAGCTGCAAGTTAGTGTACATCATTCTTATCCCATATCTTGTTATGGACTACTAAATACACCTGTATGACAAATGAAAACAAACAAACAAGATAGAGATATACACACTTCTTCAGAAAGGAAAGTATAATGGCTTCTAAATTAAGTTTTTTAATATATAAATTGTTGTAGAAACAAAACCAGAAGAGATCTGAGTTTATAATACACCACAGGTGTTAGGCTTTCCAGCCAAGCATCGCTAACAACTGAAGTCTTTCACCTACTCTTCCCTAGGATTACCTGCCTGAGAAAATTGGGAGCATGTGTTTCCATATACTGCTAATGGTGTAAGACTGCTTTTCTTTTCATGATCCAAGCCTCTTCCTGCAGTTTCTTAAATGATTAAGTCGCAATTAAAGCTTTGTGACCTTCTGCAAATCAGAATATGCGTGTTTTTTTTCTAGGTAATTTGTGATGTTAATCTTTTTAGCTGGTGTGATACTAAATCATCAAAATACAGAAATCCCTAAAATCCTCCTGTCAAGATAGCTAGCACATGTTCTTAAACATTATTTTTGTGTTAATTTTCACAGTAGTCTTGAAATTAAAATATTATGCAATTTTTATTTACTAATAGCTTCCATCTATCATGATCATGAGTTGCTCTTTTTAATCTTCTTAACAGGATAGCTTTTCCTCAAAATTTACGCAGGGGATAGCCACTCAGGATATATTTCTCAAGATATGATGTTCCAAAGAGTGGGTTTGTAAGTGTTAAGTTAGTTAAATCTATACAAAGATGTGAAGGTTCTGCCTATATGTAAGCTGAGAAGTTAGCTCTCTTTTTATTATATTGGTTCCCACTTGTAATTATATATGTTATTAATACCTCATTAATAAAAACAAATTATGTGAAAAGGATTGATAAAACTACCTGGAACATTATTGGTCAAGTACGATTCCACGTGGAAATTTTGTTTGCTTATGTATTTATTTATTTTTATTATTCAAGCATGGGTATGGCTACAGGAGGAGCGAGAGTGTGTCTCCCTCGTATCTTCAAAAAAATCACCTGTCACCTTCCAGGATTCCAGGTGTAAGGAGTTTCTTCAGAAGCAGAGTGTGTGGAAGAACAGAAAGTGGGGTTAGTCCCCTCTGACAATAAAATGGTGTGTGTGAATAATACTACTGCACAAGTAACAAGTGCTAGGAAGTGTTTTATTAAGGGCATCAACTCATGTGATAATACAGATTATTTGAATGACTATAGCAAATTTAAATCTAGTTTACCATGTTCAGAATTAGATCTAGGATTACACAAATAAGTATAACCTTGAACACATTCTCATTTATTTCAAAAGAAATCTTCTCTGGTCTGTGACTTTTTTGTTTGTAGGTACATTTCACCAGGACATTATTTGAAATATTAGTTGCATGATAGTATTCATACTGTGATTACTTTTAGAGTAAGTGAAAGGAAATACTAAATTGTGTTATTTGAAGTGATTGTTTCAGTCATTTTGAGCTTTTTGTTTCATAGAGCTTATACAGTACTCTTTCTTACAGAGTGCTGCACCAGGAATCCTCAGCCAAACTTTAAACTGTCCATAAGTAAGAAGCCAATTAATTCTCATTTATTTGTACATTCCTCTAAAATTCCAGTAACACTATTTTCTCTTGAATGCTTCTAAGAAGCATGTTAATGGAAAGCTGAGCTGCACCATACACAACTTCTTCCCCCTTCCTTAGCTTGTGAAGGGCTATCATCTGTAGGAAGAAAAAATAAAAACAAACCCATCCTTTTCTCTTTTATCCTCTAGCTTCTGTCAATCACAGTGCATTTTTCTGCACATCTCTTTCAAGGCTCTCCCACTCATTTTCTCTCTGTAAAACAACAGTGCTTTCCACTCCTCCCCCGGGTATGTCCAACAGACTAATTTTTCTTGTCCACGCCACAGGATTTTATGCTATTAAGGGTCATGAATTACATACTGAGTTTATGCTCACACAGTAGAGGTTATTTTCTTACTGCTCCTTTACATATCTAAAAAGCACCTTTGATCATAAAATTTTCTTTGATCAGCTAGAGCAAAGTCTTCAGAGGTGTGCTAAATTGTTCACATTGAGTAAAATCCTACCTTTATGGAGAAATAGTGTATCTAGTCTGCTCTTTAATAGTATTACTACCAATGAACACTCTTGTTGATTTATTATTTATTAGCTGAATCTTAATCATTATTATTTCCTCTGCTACAGAATGCATTTCTCAGTTCTCCCTTACACTTGTGCTATTCTGTGCTGCAGTTTTATTGAAATCTTTAGTCTCCCATGACTGGCTTCACTGTCTCACAGTACATGTTCTTAGAAATTATTAGAAGTTAATAGATTAGATTCTGAGCTCTTCACACACAAAGAACAAACACAGTTTTAACCTGAATAACCCTTCTGTACCCAAATGACAGCAAAGTAAGAACTAAAGTGGCCCAGAAAACTGTTTCTTCACAATAGTAACTTGTATAGAGTATATCAAAAAGTGTTTGTAGAAAAGCTAACTGCTTGGTTAAACCAGGAACAGCAATTTATGAGAGATACTTTGCTTAAATTAAGTTAATGAACAAGACTTTCTAGCTGTTCCTCTGTTTGAGTAGAGAGAGAATAAGTACAATATTCACTTCCTAGTAGGCTATGAGGCCCTGACAGTAGTTGGGATCAGTCAAATCTCCAACTATGGGATGGTCACAGTGCATTCAAAATGAATGTGCTGTAGACCTCCATAGCAAAGTATACAGTGACTACATCTTAAAATGTCATGCCTCTCTAGATTTTCTGTCAGTCTCATTCTTCTAGGCTAGATTCCATGGAGTTCTCAATAAACTATTTCTCTGTTTACTACGTCAATAAAAAACATATCCAAAATATGAATGAAAATTTGCAATCTCAGTTTGAAAAGGAGGTGATTAAATTTATTAAAGAATTTTATATTTTTATTTTTTACTATAAATTCTATTAGAAATAGCATTCTTCCTGAGGACTTATTCAGTTATAATACACAAATACAAATATTATTGGATTGTTTTATTACATTCCCTTTCTAAAAATGCAATAAATTTTGATTTGACTAACCTAAATGCAAAGAATTTCTCCTAGAAAAATATAGTTAATGGTCTAATTATCAAAGAAATAATTAGAAGATATGGCTTTTTTTTTTTTTAATTCCCTACCCAATCCCTAGCCTTTTTCAGATAAATAAAAAGTATTCGCTGTAAGAAGGGGAGTAATTTTAAGCACTTTTTTAATTTTAATTTTTAATTACTTTACTAAGAAGTAAAGTAATTTTAAGCAAAATGAATAATGTATTGTAACTTTCTATCACTTGCGTCAACAATTAGAAGCATCTACAGATTTTTCCTTAAATGGTTAAATTTGAATTCTGCAGTGATGCTTAGGTTTGTTAAGTTTGTATCAATCTCTTCTCCATAGCGTGGTTCTCAGCCTTCTAAAAGTTTCCTTAAATGACACCCTTAAGCAAGTGAGAATCTTCCCTAATGCTCAGAAATCCTGAGAACTGACTGCTTGATGTGAAAAGTTAATGATTTATTATCTACTTTTAAACTCACTGCAATGGATGAGTTCAAAGAAATGTACACAGTATGTGGGTATCAAATTCAAAAAAAAGACTTCACAGAATAATGCATTTCCAGAAAATGTATGAAGGTTTTTCTCTTTATAGTTGAAATCCATAAATTTACATCTTACATTTTAAAACCATGCACTAATCAGTGGAAAATTCACAAACATAAATGTAATCTCATCAAACCCAGCCTCCTGTCACTGCTTTATGAAGTTCTTATTCAAAAATGAAACAACAAAACACTTTCTAATTTAAAGTCCAATGTACGCATCCCACAAACTACTAAATAAAAATGCTTTTGAATATACTTATTTTGCTGTTTAATATTGTCACTCTACGTATGGAATATTACTTTTTTTTTTTTTTTTGTAATTTTAGTCTTTCAGAGGTACGGTGTTAACTATACACAATGATGTATACTTCCTTTATCTTTCTAAGGAAAGAAAGAAGGTCTTTCCACTAATAGGCTAATAAATCTTCCACCAAAGTTTTTGGAAAATATGCCACTGATCACAGATATATGGTCAATAGCCTTATGACACAGATGTATCCTTTGAGCTCTGAAATTCAAGATTAGTTTGAATATAAATTACTTTAAAAATAAGCAGCAGCTGAAGAACTTTGCAGTAACTGTCTAAGTACAATGTCTTTCAGTTTTATCTGAGTTAACCCATAACAGCCATAATTTATTTTATATTGATGCATTTTATATTGTCGGATTTATATAGACATAATTCGTATTATATGTGCTCATAGAAAGTCTACATGGGACTTGAATACTATTATGCAACATACTGACACTGGAAAACCTTGAAGACGACCTACTTGTGATGGTATTGGTAGTCTTAAGTTACCTTTTTTTTTTGTAAATAACATCTTTTTGTATATGTAAAGTTCCTACCAGAGTAATGAAATATTAAATTTATATCCTCAGCATGTAATTATAAATATGCAGAAAGAATCATAGAATCATAGAGTCAAGAGCATCATAGAAAGACTGCATGCATACAGGCTAAGAACTTCCATTCAGAGGCAATTCCAAAAATCAAACACTGTCAAGAAAATAATTATTTGTTCCATTTTTTTTTCTAACCATGTCAGAAGTTTAAAATGAGATTCTATAAATTATCTAAGAACACGTATGAACCTTTATCTCTACTAAAATTTTATACATAATTCAGTTCTCTAAATAAATCTTTCCATCTTAATTTTGCCACTGGTTGTTATTAATGCTCCTTTTCCTGATTTTGACTTCTTTGGATTTGTGCTATAACACTTTAAATTCTGTAATCACTTGTTTGATTTAATTGCCTTCTTTTTATTTAAAACAAATTTTCCTATCCCTCCCTTAAATGAACTCGTTAGTTTTTTTATATGAGTTCTTTCAAACTCCATTCATAGAATCGCAGAATTACAGAATCATCTAGGTTGGAAGAGACCTCTGAGATCACCAAGTCCAACCTCTGACCTAACACTAACAAGTCCTCCACTAAACCATATCACTAAGCTCTACATCTAAACATCTTTTAAAGACCTCCACCACTATCCTGGGCAGCCTATTCCAATGTCTAACAACCCCTCCGGTAAAGAAGTTTTTCCTAACATCCAACCTAAAACTCCCCTGGCGCAACTTTAGCCCATTCCCCCTCGTCCTGTTGCCAGGCACGTGGGAGAACAGACCAACCCCCACCTCACTACAGCCTCCTTTAAGGTATCTGTAGAGAGCGATAAGGTCGCCCCTGAGCCTCCTCTTCTCCAGGCTGAACAATCCCAGCTCCCTCAGCCGCTCCTCGTAGGACTTGTTCTCCAGACCCCTCACCAGCTTCGTTGCCCTTCTCTGGACTCATTCGAGCACCTCCATGTCCTTCTTGTAGTGAGGGGCCCAAGACTGAACACAGTACTCAAGGTGCGGCCTCACCAGAGCCAAGTACAGGGGGACAATCACTTCCCTAGACCTGCTGGCCACATTGCTTTTTATACAAGGCAGGATGCTATTGGCCTTCTTGGCCACCTGAGCATACTTCAAACGACAAAGGTGCCAGTCTCAGTGTTAAAAATGTCTGTGTAGCAACAATAGAATATAAAATGAGAGTTAGATTCCTTTATTAGAATGAGATTCTTAGTAAGGTTTCTTTATTAGAATTAGGATCTTAAGCTACTGTAGGCATTTTATTTCTTCCAGGAGTAAAGGTTGAAATGAGATATTTCTTCCTATCTTTTTTTTCCTCTTAAGTTTCTAACTAGAGTTTTTTACCTTTTAAATGCACTCCTACAGGTACAATCGTGATGAAAGTAATCTCTCCTGCCTCTCTCTCCCCACGTCATCAGAGCTTTTTAATTATATGAATACATCTCTTCATATTACAGTTCCAACAAATAACTAGCCAAAAAATAGAAGAAAACTAGCAGAAAAATATGAAGATAGCTTATATATACTTACTTAGAAGTAGGTATCTAGGCCTGCAATTGTTTTATTGGTTTCTGTTACATGGAAATACTCAATACAAAGAGAGACAGAGAGAAAAAAAGTCCAAATCTCTAGAAAAGCAAAAGCGTTTTTGTTTGTTTGATTTTGTTGTTGTTTTTGTTTTGTTTTCACATAGAACGTGAAAACATCTCTTGTCAAAAAGCATATGAAAGGCTATGATTTACATGCATCTAGTTTATTAGGGTGTCTTAGACATGTGAAAGTCCCCTCATTAAATAGAAATTCAATTCAGATAATTTGTAGGTATTTGAATTGAGAACTTTACAACCATGTGATGAATTTTTATGCAGTTTGTATATTGATGAACAAATACAACTCAACTCCAAATCACTCTCAAGACAGAAAAGACAAAATCGTCTTGCCTTTCTTCAGAGTTCCACCGGTCAGGGTCAGTTTTAATTTCCACTGAAGCCTTGACAGTAGCCCTTGAGGCAAGGACTGTCAAAAGGTATGTACTGACTGAGTATAAGCCCAAACTACTACTGCTTCCTGAACAGCACTGCCTTTTGCAATTTTTCTCAAGGTAAAGAAGTGTGCTGCTTTTGACTGTTTCAGTCTTCCCTAGAGGACTTTATGCAGGACTTTCTTATAATCATATTTATGTCAGTAGAGGGAAATTACAGAAAAGAGTATGAAAAATCTCATAGCAAGAGATGCTCCCAAATTAACAATAAATATTTCAATTAAATATTAGACATGTCATGAAACCACTCAACCAGCACCTTAATAGGGTATTACATGGCGTAAATAGAAATGGTTATGGTTTATAGTTATTAGCTTTGACCTATTTTGTAACTGCTAAGGCAAACTTAAATGCCTAGCTACCAATCCATACTGAAAAATTTTAAAATGCTGAATACATACTCTCTATGTACTCTTCAGACAGAACTTGCATTGATATCACTTGGAACTTGGATATAAATCTAGGTCAAGGAGCTAAAGTGTGTAACTGGAATCAATGAGAAATGACAGTCTAGCTGTAGAATTTGTGATTTTAAGTGTTGCTGTTACAACAGTATCAAACCATTTCAAGTACTATCAAAGAACAGTCCAATGCTTTAAAAATACTGAGACCAGAAAGGCTAGCTTGATAAGACTTGCTCCTGCTCTAACTGAAGCATCACTCACCTTTCCAGCCCCACTCTCTCTCTGCAGTGTCCTTCTGAATCAAGGAGATGCTGTAGTCAGAGTCATCTACGTCAGGAAAACAAAACAAATATATATTAGTATCTGTTCAACTACAGGATTTAAAATGTGGCCAGCTAGTAGTTCTGCTGGTATACCATCAGAAAGGGGAAAGGTGCAGGAAAAAATGGCAGAAGATGTCAGAATGAGCTATGGTTTAAAGCCTAGATGTAAATCAGGTTTTAAACCCCAAACATCATATCTCCCATACACCTAGTCCATTTTCAGTCGTTGAACTATTGGACTTCAAACAGACTTGTACTGCTAGAGCTAAGAAAGTTAAACCCAAATTAGTATATTTACAGGAAATTGTTCTGTCCTAGCAAAAAGACGTTTTCCAGCAAAAAGCAATTTCATCAATTAGCAAATTCACTCTTCTGGTCTGGAGATGAACGTTCTGTTTGTTTTGTGCTTTTACACTTTTTTTGTGCTGCATAATCAGACATTTCAGATTAAATAATTTTCTCCTAAACTACCTTATACATGAATGCCCATTTTTAACAACTTAAACCAGTACATAGGTGGCTTCTTATGTATCCCTGTAGCTGATATTCAGCTTTACTCAACCAAATGGAGAGCAAAATCCTTTCTCTTGGGAGTGAAAAACTTGAAAAGATAGACACGGAAGCTCTGCAGCAGTACTAATGAGGTCCTGTAACAACATTTGAAAAACATCTGTAACATTAGAACTTAATAAAACTCTTCCTAATCCATTTTCAGTATAAATGAAATTATATACCAGAGATACTGAGAATCTCTAACTATAAAACTGTCACAAACATAGAACATCAATTTTAACTTTTCTTTTTCTTTACAACTTGATATTTTTAGATCAATTATGTAAAATTCTAAATCGTAAAGGATACAACAATATGAAAATAGCTGAGGAGGTATTTAGGTACTCCTCTATACACTTCAAGAATAATTCATTCATTGAAGTATATTTTACTACCTATGAAAAAATGCAGATATATAAGAGAATCTGTGCATAAGAAAAGGCTAACAACCTTCAGGATGTCCATTCACCATAAAACTAATTTCACACCTAGTCCATTATGTTATGTGCTATGAAAATATTCTTTGCTTCAAGATACCTTTATACGAGCTTGGACCAAACAAACTCAGTTGTGTTCAATGTTATGCAGATTACCTGTAGAATAATTTCAAAAATAGTGAGAAAATGATATACACCTTTCATTTCATAAAATGGAAGCTAAGGTAGTTGGTGTAAATAATAAAAAACAATGTTGTTTTAATAACCACTTTTCCCCGATATCCAAATATTTACAATAGCCACTGAAAGTATCTGAACTGTTGATTAGTTTTATGGTTTGCATGTTTTAATGGATCTTTCTAAGATTGAGGGAATCTAACTAATGAATTATTTGATCATTAGGAATAAACTGTTGGTTTGAAACAGTCTATTATTTAATGTAATAAAAAAAGAAAACATTACTTGTTGAAACTGACAAAAATTAGATTATCTATAGTGCAGGGTGTTTTTTTTTTTTTCTGTTCTTTTTTGTTTGTTTCTGTTTTAAAGCTCTGTTTTGTCTCAGAGGAAAAATAACTGTCAAATAGGAAATGAACTAGAAACTCCAGGACTTGGTGGCTGTTCACAGAACTTTTTCCCTTGAATCACATCCAAAAATCCAAACCACACCTGTGAACTGGAATACCTGAGTACAGACTGGCTTTTTGGATCTGCCTTCACAAGCATATGGAAATAGAAACAAAATCCAACAACCACCTAAACCAATAAGCTTTCCATCAGTTTCATAAAGAAATCAATAATTTCTCAAATTGGAAATCAACATTCTCACACAATGAAGACCAAAAGCAAGCATACTAAATTGATATGGAAAACATAAAAGCAGATGTTGTCATTCAACATTACTGAATTTTAAATGAATTTACTATTCTTACTATTATTATAACCAACAGCTGCTTCAATACACTTCAATTAGTTCTAAATTTTGATTAAACTTTTCTCTCTTACAAGTCTTCTGATAATTGGTCGTGATAAAGTTCAATATAAACACAAATATCCATCGTCATGACTTCACGCTTACTTCCTCAGTAATTCCACTTAGTCAGTAGGAGATAATTTGGAAGAAACTATAATTTAGAATGACGAAAGATATCAATCTACACACTAAAAAACATTGTTCCATGCCAATAATGGTACCTCAACAGATAATGCAAATAAAATAATGACTTCACTGAAACAAGTTAATCAATAAAAAAAAGCAACCAGAGAACGTATTTTTAACACATCCAAAATCTATCATAGGTGTCATTTTGTAATTGGTACCATTTTTTAATTCTGTCAGTCTAAAATTCTGATATTTGTCAGTTGCTAGGATACTCTACATGAATAAACCTCTTTTTCCTTTCTGGCTAATTCAATTGTCCACTACTGAAATGCTTTTATTATATACAGACAGAAAATATTTTAACTGCAAATTATTTTTTTTTCCAACAGCAAGTAGTGAATAACAATATCATACATAGATAATAAAATACATTTAAAGATATTTTAATTTTTAATAACACAACAGCTGTTAGCTCCCCTAAGTATTTCCAGTTGAAAGAAACAGCCTGTAACTTATAAAAAAAATTGAATTTATATTACATTTTACTATCTTGCAACAAAACTCCACTTCTTTAAGATTAGGAATCCTATGCCTTATCATAAAAAAACTTTTCAGAAGTTATAGTAATACATATGGGCCTCAAGTTATCTGAAATTGGGAACTACAGGTGTTTTTTATGATCTGTGATAAGATAAAAAGTATTGTAGAAGAGAAGCCTTTCTCAAATATACCAACAACCCCCTACTTTTTAGAAGACTTAAAACTATACACACAAGAAACTTACTCTATTTGGAAAATAAATAAATAAGTAAAGACTTTCAGCTTATTGAAGCATCAATTGTTTTATTTTTGTAATGCTAGTTTAAGTGTAGCAGTATCATGACATGCTTTTATTTTGTCAGATGTATGTATATTGCATATTGCTTGTACATTATAGATTCTTATTTTAATACACAGAAGACATACTGACTATAAATGTTTCTGGTGATTAATATACTGTAATTCTGGAGTTAGATTGTTGTCAAACAATTTTCCTTTGTAAAATATGATAACAATCTCTTTTCAGCAAGCATTCAACAACAGACATTACCACCTCATCTGTGTACATCCTCTTTGAAGGTCATATCAAAACTACAAAGGAAAGAAACTGAAAATCAGAATTCTTGCATGAAATAAAAAAATAATAAGCATACTATGCAATGCATCACATGAACAAAATTCAACAAAGAATGAAATTTCTGCTTGGTTAAGGACTGCAATTTTAAGGAAGGGCAAAGAAAGAACTCCTCTGCAAAGTCTATAGAAAATGCAAAATAATCTGACCCAATATGCCTGGGATATATTATTATCACTGTAACTGGTCCCACAGTAGGGTTGTAGAGAGGAATATGAGTGTGAGGGAGATATTGTAACAGTAATATTTACCAAAATCAATTCCAAAGTTTTCCTGGCACTGTCTGTTGACCTTCAACATAGCTTTGTTACTAGAAAGAAAAGGACAAGGAATTCACAAATAGATGAAAATGACTAGGCTGAAAGTATGCCTTAATCTGTGATTTGCTGGTCACACTTGGCGCCCTCCAAGCAAATGAAGCATTTTCTGACTTAATTTTAAGTGTTTTCATGATGTCATCATAATGAAATAAGGAGAAAAAATAGTGTCTTTTTGGCTTTTTTCATGTGTTTTTCCACCTTTTCAGTTTAATACTGAATTTTAGGCTTAGTGTCCAAGTCTTGCTATTTAGGCCCTTCTCATTCATACTGAACAACTAACAAAGCACCAACACTGTCAGGATGCTGTTGTTTTCAATGCTGATACCTTAAAAGCAGTATTTGCCTTGAAAATAAAGTAACAGATTACAGGTTTTATTTCACCAATGAAAGAGTAACTCAAAAGTACTAGAGAACGATCCATACACTGCACATGGAAGGTCAAATTTACCTTTACTTCCACCATTTGCTTTACTGAGGCTTCCTTAAGTCAGCAAAGAAGATGGTCTAGATATTCAAATGATATCAAGACCCCTTCTAATTAAACAGAGATATTGATTATCAGTATTTATTATTATTATTTTATTATTTTTTCTATTTCTATATTTTTCTATTATTATTTTCCTTGGCGAAATCTATTATTTTTTGCAAAACTTAACAGAGTGTTTGTTTCTGTAAGTCAGTACATCTTTCTTTACTGTTGTTTCTTACGTCATGTTTTCCAATTCAGTTATACTCCATACTGAAAACATGGGGTATGTCAGAAGTAATAACACGCCTCTTTCTAAAATGAGATTAAAAAACAGTGTAAGACTGGATTTCTCAAAGTTCTACTTATATTTAAAGGTAGGAATTTTGAAAACTGTTTTTCTTGCAGCCATAAGCCTACTGTCCTAGACAAACTATAGGTTGTTAATTAATTCCATCAGTGCTACACTAATTTTTCCTTCTAAACTCAAAAACAAAGAAAAATCGAAAAAAGAAAACAAAACAAAACAAAAAAACATTCATTAAGGCTAAGAGATCAGTTCAATTCAATAAAATGCCTTTTTAATTGGGCACATTCACGAGTCAGTTGTTTACTCAAATACTGTTAAATCACTAGTAGAGAGATGAGTATATGTACAAGTTCTAGATTCTCAGATTTCCTTACTGTCTTCTAGACAATGTTGCCATCTTCTTTGAAGTACAACCAAAATAGGCTTCAGAAGTATTCCTGCATAAAAAATAGGCATGGAATAGAAGAAGAACAACTTCAGCCTGAAATAATATTTTTTAAAATATTATTTTACTATTTAAGGAATGACATTTCTACTGCCTTACCAAGTACTATGGTCCTTTCCCACATTACCCGTTGATATCAAGGAATAGGCAATAACAGGCTGTTTTGATACTACTCTTGGAGAATGATAGCTCCCTTAC